ACGAACTGAGATGATAGAACCGATAAAGATGACAAGGTTAAGATGTGAGGAGTCACTAAGTGATTATTACATCCTTATCAGTTCCTAGTTAAGATGGTCGTATTAAGAAGCTTTTAGCAACGAAAGGAAGTAAATCTTTCACCCAATACTTGGAGATCACGTTGTTTCATCATAAAGTAGTTCGTAGTAGAGCACAGGTGCAATTCCTGATACTACAGCTAATATTTATTAATTATTGTATCCTAATATGATTTACTTGAGTGCTAAATGACAGAACAATTAATTTTGTCAGTGCGCTCAGAATTGCTGCTAACCAATGTTGTAGAAATAAATGTTGCAATGCGCAGTTAGCAATGTGAACAATACTACACATTCCCTTTTCGACTAAATCAATTCCAAAGTAAATTTTTAAAAGGACACGATAAGTCGGTTTGCTCTTCTGAACAGGTTTCGCCATGCGTCTCTATCCTTCTCTATCCCTTGTTCACCCGCCATTTAAACTATCATCTTATTTTCAAGATGATAGTTTAAATGGCGGGTGAGGAGTTCAATAAATCCGTTATCTTTACTTGTTGTTCGGTATTCTCTTAACGTGTTGACAAATTGAAGTTGAATTGTCCAGAGTTTTTCCATTTGTGCTTAAGCTTACTCTCTTATCTTGATTTCAATTCCTTTATTAATTTTTATCAATGCTCGTTAATCAATGTAACATTTTATTCGTCTTCTCATCTGTCACCATGTCTTCATTTCCCATTTTTTCATTTTTTCGTCTTCCGCCATTTCCCATTTTTTCTTTCATACCATATTCAATTCAATTTCGGCTTACCAATTCGTGCAATCAGCAAGACTTCTGATACTGTTCAATATGGAGATGTTTTCGGTATTGGGTAGATATTCTCGAACATGCTTTTCCTAATAAAAATATTGCAAGTCAAGTTAATTTCAATTCATTATACGATGAAATAAATTCTTGCGCAAAACTCTCTGAGATCATTTTTCTTGATTTTTCGATGTCATTTTCTCAACGAAACACTTTAATACTTTTTCCTATCTTATATTCATACTTATTTTCAGTGCTAAGAGCTGTTTATTTACTTGGTTAAAACATTAAAATATTTACTCATTAAATATTCTTCTTAGAGACAAAGAATTTTGGAAAGTTCGAAAGAAAGATCAATCATAAGTATTATGAATGGTTGTATCCTTCCATCAGTAAAGAATTCATAACTATCAACCAAATTAAAGGACTTAAGACTATCACAAAGTAATAAGATGGTGTATATGAACTGATTGATGTATCAGTAGACCAACTTAAATTAATTTGTATGAAAATCTAATTTTGAATTATTATCACTGCCCTTTGTAGGCAACAAAAGTTTAGTTTAGCAGGAAAAAAGTAAGCTGAACTTCTTTTATTCTTATTATATCTTAAATTCATTTGCAATACTAATGCTATTCTTGTCTCATAGATCATCAACCAATCTGTCCCCGGTATTTCTTGATAGATCTATCCATTCTGACGAGAATGACTGCATGCATTCATATGTGTACGTTTGCTTGTTTATTTGATGGTTTGCTATTATTTACAATAATGTGCATGCTTTGCATGCAATTCTTATTTTCTTTAATTCTCGTCTTCTAATGATTTCATTAAAAGATTTGAAATTTATGGTCGTGAAAACATTTAAAAATTACAATAAATGTCAATTTAACATTCACTGTGTGCGCTCAGCGTGAAACATTCTTCTACAACAGCATAGCTAAACTTTTAGCTTGCTGAAAGAAAATTGCAGCATTTCGTTACAACAACTTAGAATTCCTAATTTAAGCTTTCCACGATAAAAGCATTTCTTTCCTGATTTGTCTTTTGATGAATCCAAGTGACATCAGCATTGCCGTGCTATAGGCTGATGATTATTGTTTCTAGAAAACAGATGACAATTTATGATAAATATCTCATCAACCATTTCAAGGGGTTATAGCTCTACTTTCAAAAAATTCAACTTACAAAAATCTTGCAGTATTTTTGAATTGTCCGTCAGTTCAAAAATCTAAGAACTTTCTAAACACTTGGAAAGTTTTTTTACAATTATTTTTCAGATATTGGATATTTACCATAACAATGTTGTTTAACATGTTTGTTATGGTGATTCTCTTTGCTCAACCATTTCATACTTCCCAGAAAATGATAAGTATTCAATTCAACTTATTGTGAATAA